CTAAGGGGACACAGGGGGGATGTCACCCACCCACGGGGACAGGGGGACAGGCTGGGCGAGTGCTCGGGGCTCTCAAAGTGCCCTGAGGGACAAACGAGTGTCTCCCACCCACCCCGGCCACCTCGGGGGATGTGACAGTGCCACAGAGCCACAAAGGGGTGTCACCCACCCACGGGGACAGGCGGGGCTCTCAAAGTGCCCTGAGGGGACAAACGGGTGTCACCCACCCACTCCGACCATCACAGGGGATGGTGACAGTGCCACAGTGCCACAAAGGGGTGTCCCAGTGCCCGGCTTGGGTGTCCCTTACTGGGATCGGGAGCGGGGTGGCACCAGGGGGTGTTGGGATCCCAGAGGGGAGATCCCACAGGGGGATTTGGGGTGGGGGCACCCCAGAATGGCACCCACGGGTGCTGGGGGACGCAGAATTGGGCACCCCACGGGCACCGGGCGATGCTGGCAGCCACGAGCGGCACCCACGGGAGCCGGGGGACACCGAGGTGACACCCGGTCACCGCTGTCACCGCTGTCACCTGCGAACGCCCGAGAGATGTGATCCTTCTTCCACTCCCAGGGTTGGTCGTACTCGTCCGCCGGTCTCTCGTCGTCGCGGGGGAGGCGACTCTGGCGGGTCGGGGCCACCCCCGGGCTGTCCCCAACCGTGTCCCACTCGTCGCACGGGGTGTCGTAGAGCTGCGGACCCCGGCGCGGCCGCACCCGCCGGCCCTCGCCCTGCCGCGGGCACCCTGGGGACGGTGGGAGCGGTTCGGGACCCCGCGGGGGTGTCGGGGTGTCACCCACCRTGTCACCCGCGGTGTCACCCGCGGTGTCACCCACCTGTGGGCTCCTCGTCGCAGCCGCTCTCGGGTGCCGGGTCCTGCTCGCCCTCGAAGGGCTCTGAGTATTCGCTCTCACCCGGGCCCTGGGGGGGTCTGGGAGGGTCGGGACCCCCAGTGTCCCCCCCGGAGGGTTCCCGGTCCCCCCGGTGCCCACCCGGGACCTTTCGGGCTCCCCGCAGCCCCCACAGGGGTGTCCCCAGCGCCGGCCCCGCTCCCGCCCACCGGGTCCCTTTGTCCCCCAGCCCCTCTCCCCTTCCCCCTCTCCCAGTGACTCCACCATTCCCAGTCGCCCCCAGTTCCCTCTCCCAGTGTCCCCAGGTCCTCCCGGGTGTCCCCTTGTCCCCCCGTCCCCCGGTTCACCGGCCCCGCTCTCCCGGTCCTCATTCCCGGCCGCTCTCCGGTTCCCGGTCCCCACGCCCGTTCCCCATCTCCCCCCGCCKCTCTCCGGTCCCCAGACCCCCCCTCTGACCGACCCCCGCTCTCCCCGCCGCCCCCTCGCACCTTCCCGACCCCCCTCCGGTGCTCCCGGTGTCCCCGCCGCCCCCCGTTTCCCTTTCCCCAGCCCCCCCCCGCTGCCCCACCGCACCCTCCGGACCCTCCGCCGCCCTCCCCGGTGCCGCCGGTCCCTCCCGCTTCGCTGCCCGGTGCCGCCGGTGCCCTCCCGGTGCTCTCCCGGTGCCCTCCCGGTGCCCTCCGGTACCCCCCCGGTGCCCCCCGCCCGTACCTGCTGCAGCCGGCGGGGGCCGCCCCCCGGCCCCGAGCCCCCCACCCGCACCAGGCGGTGGCGCGGGGAGGCGGCGGGGCCGCGGAGAGCACCGGGGGCAGCACCGGGAGGGCTCCCGGGGCCACCGGGACCGCTGTAATCGGGCTGGGGCGGGCGCGGGGGGGAGCGCCGGGCCCCCCGGCCCAGGTACTCCCGGAGCCACTTGGCCATGGCGGGGAGCGGCACCGGGAGCGGCACCGGGAGCGGCTCCGGGACCCGCCGGGACCCCCCCTCGGCCGCCGCCGCCGCCGCCGGAGCCGCTTTGTGTCGCCGCCGCCGCCGCGAGAGGCGCGGACCGGAGCCCCCGAGCCCCCCCCGCGCCCGCCTCGCCCGGGGACACCGGCACGGAGAGGGCGAGACACCGAGGGGACACCGAGGGGACACCGAGGGGACAGCGGAGGGGACACGGAGGGGACACGGGAGGGGACAGAGGGGGACAGCGACACGGCGGGAGACCGCGGGGAGCCCCGGGAGGGGTCGGTTCATCACCCACCCCCGAGTGATGGGGGGCACCGGGACTCCAAAATGACACCGGGACCCCAAATGACACCGGGACACACAAATGACACCGGGACCCCTAAATGACACCGGGACGGCCCCTCTCGGTGTGGCCGTGGGAGAAAGGGAGGGTCACCGGGACCCCAAAGAGACCCTGGGACCCCGAAATGACACCGGGACCCCCGCCCCACGGGCTCCTCTGGGGGCTGGAGGGATCAAGAACCCGGGGGTGTCCTGCCCCGAGTTTTGGGGGGGTTCAGGAGTTTTGGAGCCCCCCCAGCCCTGCCCTGACCCCCCCCGGCATTGTCCCCAGAACAAAGGTGCCTCTCCCGGGTGCCACCCGCTGCCGGGAGCTGGTGACAGCTGGGGGGTGGGAGGACCCGGCCGAGACCCCCCCTCACACCCCCCTAAAGCCCCGGGCTGAGCCCAGCGCCCAGCATTAATATTTGAACAGCCTAATTAAGGCTTGTGCACGGAATGCTAATTGGGGCGGGGGGGGTGCCTTCCTGCCCGGCTCTCCCCACAGCCCCCTCCTCACCCTGCACCCCCACCCCCACTCCGGGACGGGGTTAATTAACCAGAGGCTGCTCAGCAATTAGAGCTGGGCGCCTTGATGAGGGGGAATTCATGGCCGTGGGTGGGGACAGCYCCATTTGGGGTGGGTGGGCACTTGGGGAGGGGTCTCTGTCATTGGGGTGGGGGTCCCCAGGACAGGACCGGGTAGAAATCACTCTGTGGACGGTGATGGAGAAACTGGATTTGAATAAATCCCATTTATTGTGGAGCAGTGGCTGCTGAAGGCTCCAAATGGCAGGGAGAGTTTTGTCCCCAAGCTCCTGGGGACATCTGGAGGGGTCTCTGTCATCGGGGTGGGGGTCCCCAGGGCAGTGCCCACGCAGAAATCACTCTCTGGAGCAACGGGCTCTGGATAAATCCCATTTATTGTGGAGCAGTGGCTGCTGGAGGATCCCAACGGCAGGGAGGGCTTTGTCCCCGAGCTCCTGGGGACATCTGGGGGCGCTGCTGGTGGCAGGACAACGCTGTCCCCACAGTGAGGGACTGGCTGAGCCCCCCGGGCTGGGCAAAGGTGGCATCTGGGGCACCCTGGGTGAAGGGAAGGAGTGGGGCTGAACACCCACCTCGCCCTGATCCTGGTGGGAAGGACAGCCCCGAGGTTCCCTGACCGCTGGGGGAGGGTCAGGGCACCCCAAACCCGGCCTGGGGGTGATCTGTGGGGAGGGGCACCCCCAGAATGGGCACAGCAGAGTCCAGTGCTGCCCTGGCACTCTAAACCCATCCTGGGAGCGGGGCTGGGATACCTGGGCTGGGACACCCTGGACTGGGACACCCCGAGTTTGGACACCCGGGTTGGGACACCTCAGGGGCTGGGACACACTGGGATGGGACACCCAGAGTTGGGACAGTCCGGGCTCACACCAAGCTCAGACACCCTGAGCTGGGACACCCAAAACTGGGGGTTGGGACACCTGGACTGGGACACGTTGGGGGTTGGGACACCCAGAGTTGGGTCACCTGGAGCTGGGACACCCCTGACTGTGACACCCTGGGGATTGGGACATCCAGAGTTGGGACACCCCAGACGGGGACACCCGAGCTGGGACACATCACTGGTGCTTCCCACGGTGGCCTGGATCCTCTGGGGACAGTGGTGGCCTCGATCCCCCGGACACGTGGGGACAGTGGTGGCCCCGATCCCCTGGGCCCCTGGGGACAGTGGTGGCCCCGATCCCCCGGACCCATTAGGACAGTGGTGGCCTGGATCCCCCGGACCCGTGGGGACAGTGGTGGCCCCGATCCCCTGGGCCCGTGGGGACAGTGGTGGCCCCGATCCCCTGGGCCCGTGGGGACAGTGGTGACCCCGATCCCCTGGGGACAGTGGTGGCCCCGGACCCGTGGGGACAGTGGGGACAGTGGTGGCCTCGATCCCCCGGACCCGTGGGGACAGTGGTGGCCCC